CGCAGGCTCAGCGGCCATGGCTCAGGGGCTTAGCCGCTCCGCAGCATGTGGGATCTTTCCGGACCAGGGCAAGAACCCATGTCCCCGGCATTGGCAGGCGGACTCTCAACCACTGCGCCACCAGGGAAGCCCTCGGCATCTGTTTTTTAAAAAAATTTATTTCTATTTATTGGGCTGTGCTGGGTCTTAGTTATGGCATGTGTGATCTTCAGTTGCAGCATGTGGGATCTTTAGTTGCAGCATGCAAACTCTTAGTTGCGGCCATGTGGGATCTAGTTCCCTCACCAGGGATCAAATCCAGGTCCCCTGCATTCGGAGTGTGGAATCTTAGCCACTGGACCACCTGGGAAGTCCCTTTCAGCATCTATTGAGATGATCATGTGATTTTTATCCTTTGTTTTGTTAGTGTGTTGTATCACATCAACTGATTTGCAGATACTGAACCATCCTTGCATCCCTGGGATAAATCCCACTTTTGGTGTATGATCCCTTTAATGCGTTGTTGAATTTGGTTTGCTAATATTTTGTTGAGGATTTTTGCTTCTATGTTCATCAATGATACTGGCTTATAATTTTCTTTTTTTGTGGTGCCTTTGCTTGGTTTTGGTATCAGGGTGATGCTGGCATTGTAGAATAATGTAAGTCTTTCTTCATCTTCAATTTTTTAGAATAGTTTGAGGATAGTTGTTATCTCTCTTCAAATTTTTGGTAGAATTCACCAGTGAATCTGTGTGGTCCTGCACTGTTGTTTGTTGGGAGGGTTTTTTTTTTTTTCTGATTAAATTTCATTACTGGTAATCATATGTTCATATTTTCTATTTCTTCCTGATTCAGTCTTTGGAGATTTTACATTTCTAGAAATGTATTAATTTCTTCTAGGTTGTCCATTTGATTGGTGTGTTTTTTTTTTTCATAATTGACCTTTTATTTTAAAAAATTACAGGGAGCAATTTCCAGAATCTTATTTTATAAAAGTACTGCCTATATCAAACATTTTATATCACTATTAATTCCATTGAAGAGCTGCCTTTTTTTTTTAAGGTACTAATTCCAATTGATGGGATACATGCCCTTAAAATAGAAAGTTTCCATTTATTCAAATGTCAAAATTAAGATTATTGAGAAGTTTATTGCTTTTTGGCTGGGCAAGATGCTACTAGCATATTTTAGGTAAATAATATTCTTTGTTAAAAACTATGAGGTCATTCTGTTTAAAACTCTCAGGATAATTCACAGAAAATAGATATATTTATTCAAATTATACATTGAAGGGCTGAGATTTTAGCCATAGACATTTATACGTGAAGCAGCTCTTTAAAGAAGACACACAAACAGGTCTGTCTTAGTATAATACACATAATTGAAATTAATAAAACCTGGAAGACCAATATTATTATGCTATTTCTGTTAAGATCTTAAAAAAAAAATCACACATTTAGTAGTCCATTTGTGCTTAAAATATTCATATGCATGAGAACCTTTAAGGAAAAAAAACACCTCTATACATGATGATGAAAATAAAGTAAACAATGTTTTGGAACTGCACTGTTATTTAAAACACTTTCCTAAATTCAGACCCTCCTTTGCAGCTGGCACAATTTTTCAGGTCTAATTGGCAACCTGGGGAGGCCCCTCTAGTATTCGTGAAGTAAAGAAGGTGGTGATAAAAGACCAAGCTGCTGCCATTAATCCAGGCCTTTGAATTGCACTGGCATCTTCACCTGCATCTTCTCCACTCTCATCTTCAAGCCCATCATCCATAAGACGCCCCATTGCTTCAAGTTCTAGATTGTTTGCATTCGGCACATCATTGTTGACTTCGCCATTATTGTTGGGAGCCTGTTGCTGACCTCCTTCTTGCCTAAAAGGAAACCATCCAGCTCGGTGTAAAACAGTAGCATGGCTCCCATGACCATGATAAACCGACTAAAAGAGGAATAGAAGTACACAATGCTAGGGAGAACGGCAGCTCGTGAGAACGTGTACATCCAGTCTAGCCAGTCTCGACTGAAGTCTTCTTCGTTTAGCACTGGACTTCCCTGTGCATTCACCTGAACATTCTCATCCATGGGTCGACTTTCTTGGGTCACTAGGTTTGGAGCTGGTGAGGGTTCTTCTCCAGGAACATGTGCCACATTTAGAGGCTGTGAAGTAGCAGGCTGGTCTGCGTTGGCATTTGATGTTGCCTCAGCTGAAACTGCAGCTTGATATTGCATATAATACTGATGCGTATACATCTGTTGCCACCACAGCGTCTGCAGTGGGCTGAAAGTGGGATACCCTGGGAATCCAGCCGGAACAGCCTGCCCAGGAACCTGGTTGTCTACATTTCCTTGCATTACATATGGGAACTGATGACTAGTAATCTCTTATGATACTTGTATTTTTGTGGCGTCAGACATTGTACTATTCCTCTTTCATTTCTTGATGAGTCTGCTCGCTGCCATCTTTGACTAAAAGTAAAGTACAGCCGAACATGCAGCATGACCATTACTGCAACCACCAATTCCAATAATCCGGAGGAAATTAAAGCATGGATTACTTTTGAGGCAATAAAATGAAGAAGCATTGGTAATTAGAAGAAAAAAAGATTTCAAAAGAACAACTACTGTGCCATTGGCCAAAACATCTTACACAGCAAAAGAAAAGAAAGGAAGGAAAATGGAGGAAGGATAGCTGTTACTATCAGCAGGTGTAAAAGGAAGTCGAAGGGAAGAGAGGACAACAAAAAGAAGGGAGAAGACAACTGCAAGAAAACTTTGGGAGAAACTCATGTGTAGACGTAGCTCTTTGAAATACTTCTAATATACTTTGTTACCTGACTGTTTGTCCTTTAAAGCTGTCTTGCACATTTCAATGCGGGCAGAATGATAAGGAACATAGCGATCCTGCAGAGAGCCCACTAGTACAACATTTTTGAAATAGTGAAGCCCTGTGAAGAAAAAATACTGAGTTACAGTGCAATAATTAATTAGATTTGAAATAACTTATTAGCATCATATTAAGTGGCCATAAACTTTATTTCCTTGGTAGTACTAAGTTTATGCCTTTTTAAATAACTGATGAATTCTTTCTCCAAATTTCTATACATTCTCTACCAAAATCCCCAGCTTGCTTATATGTAGTTTATGGGCTGATATGAGAAATGTGTGTTTGCACTGAGTGAGAGCAAGGATTGTGGTCTTGGGGGTTAGGGGGAGACTGGATATGGTTGGCTAAAATTCTATAACAAGTGTTTCATGACACTTTTACTTTCCAAAGGATATTCATCAATATTTAGGATTATTCCCCAAAGAAACATATATTCTTCCATAAAAACAAACAAAACACCCTATTTAAATCCTTTAAAGCTGACTTTTTACTTTAAGTTTTCATTTGACTGTTGCCTAATATTACTTATATTTTCTCCTTATTTAAGCATGCTGTCAAGAGGATAAACACTTTGATTTTTCCAATAAAAATAACGATTTTTTGTGATCCATCCAACAGACTTGTCAGGTCTATTTTATTTTTTTTAAAATTTTTCAGTAAACTACGTGAATTTAGGACTTGTGTCCTTGAGGTACTTTGCTAAATAACTCATTTAAGTACTAAAACCACATTCTTGACCTCTTTAATACCAATAATGTTCTAATTACAGTAATGTACTATTTGGCTCAGACTAGTATATACAAAATCAAAATTTTATATGATAATTAAATAAGATACAAATCAATAATGGTGACACATTAGAATTGGGTGTGCAGTACAGAGAATTTTGTTCTGGAATGTTCCAGAATAAAACTTTGATACTCTATGTGCACTGAAATTCAGACTCTTAGAGACAGGCCAATTGTGGGGACTACTGTGAATCCAGAATATAGGAAGCCTTTGTAGAAGATCCCTGTCTTCCCTGGAACTTAAGGATCCTAATGATGGGAAGAGCTTAGACTGACACATAGCCAGGTGAAACAGTATATACCCTCTGTGTCAAATATAAGGTATCCCCCCTTTTCCCAATGAGAAGATACTACTTTGTGGCCACTTGAATATATAAAATTCTAGAGATATAAGTGAAATAAGAGAATGTCTATAACAGGAATTAACTCAGTTGAACAAACATGTTTAAAATATTTTAGAAAGATTAAGAAAAATTGATTTTTTTCCCCTTCATTTTCACATTTCATGAGACAAAGTCATCCCCTTTTGGCATCACTTGATGACAGTCTTCATTGGTGCTACTTTGGGAAACGTCTGTGTGTCCTAGAGCAGAGGTCTGTGAACTGGTATACACTTACCCCCAGGGGTAATTTAAGACTCTCCATGGTGTAGATGGGCATTTACAGCTTTAAGAAAATTGATTTCCAGATCCCAACTTTATATGAGCACTTTTCTACAAATGACTTTTCCTTCTCCTACTTTACAAGAGAAAGACATTTCTCCAATCTATTTCAGATCTTCTTATGGTATATGGCCCTGGGGTATAAAATCTCTGGGAGAACCAAGCAAAATATGAACTAAGTCTTCCTCTTCCAAAAAGTAAGTTTGATGTTACCGACTGTTTGACAATAAGAAATGGCTGTGCCAGTTAGATTTTAGGGCACATATTTTCCATAAATTAAATGAGCTAAGTCTGTGACTCCAGCTGAATATAGTAAAAATATACTATCTCATATGCCAGAAAATATATCCTTTGCAACTATTTAAAATTATAGAAAACAGTTTTAGGTGTCACCATCAAATTATACAAGGGGATACAAACTTTTCCAAAATTCTTTTGAGGGTAAACAAGCCAAAAATGTGAAAGCCACGGTCGTGTGGTACTTCACTTCTAACCCAGTTATTTTAGGTACTGCACTTTCTGAATCTCTAAGTATGATGCTGTTAAATGAAATTTTATCCCGAACTGCATGAAACCAGCCATGTAACAGCACAGTTGGCTCTTTCTTTTACCTAAAAGGTGTGTATGTGTGTCCTCCATAAAGACGACCACACTGCACATCTCCGGGGGGCATCACTCCCATCACATCGACAGGAATGACACTGCACAGCCGGTGGCAGCCTTGCTCAGTAATGGTCACCTCTGTACTTCTCCGGAAACCACCAGCATCTTCTATGTCCCCCTGTGTCTTACCTTATGGCCTTCCTGTCTCACTGGGCACACGGAAGCGTCGGAAGGGGCTTCCGCAGACTCTACCTTAACACAAAACCCACCTCCCGCATCTGTACCTTCTCGCTCTGCCCACCCCTGCCTCAGGCCGGCCCTTTCAGTAGTGCACTAGGTCCCACTCCTCCTTCCTGTCTGCTTAAGGGCATGCCTCTAGTTGCTGTCCCATCCTTCTCTCGCATCAACAATTTTCTCTTCTGGATGGATCATTCTTATCAGGATGGAAAATATTACAGTATTATACGTCCCGTCTTAAAAAAAAATCAATCCCTCAATGAATCTGTCCTTGGGCTTTATTCTCCCCTCCAATTACTTCCCCGCCCCCCCATTTCTCAGCACTGCTCTATTTCTATAGTTTACATTATAAGAGTAATAGCCTTAAAAATTAAATATACTTTTCAAAATAATTGCTCTTCGCGGAGATTCTGTTGTGCTTCTACAGAGAAGTGGCACTCAGGCTGAGAATCACTGCTTTAGACCAAGACCCTGGAGAGGAGTACCCATGTCTCCCCAGGTTCAGGCAGCTCAGTGGAGAGGAAGCACGCAAACCAACAAAGGGAGAGGAGGGGATGTCCAAGAAACCCTTTAACTCTCAGATTCCATGATGATAAAATAGATACAATCAGATTGTGACACTGACATAGATACAAGATATTGTCATATTTTTAAACGTGATTCCCAAGATAGCACTGTACTTTAAAAATGCATTTTAAACTTAGTAATTATTTTAATAATACTTTTTCAACAACAATGTATCATTCCTAGTACTGTGCTTCTGTATGGAAGGTTTGCTTTTTGTATTAGCCAAGAACCAAGTTAAACAGAACCTGACCCTTTTTTGAGTCTTCTGGTTTCCATTCCTGTGTAGCAGTGCTGGCTGGAGAGGGCAGAAACTCAAAGAGAAACATGGTAGCCCCCGAGGCGCAGTGCTGGTGGGAATCATGGCAGCACTTCATCGGAGCTGAAGTCCAGCCGATGACAACGTCTGCGGTGTGTATTTGGGGGAGCCTTGTACTGTAGGTTCATCCTCTCTGCACCTGCACTGATTCTACCTGCTCAGAGATGGTCTCGTCCACTGGCCCTTGGGGTAGCACTTCACTCAGCCCAAGGCGACTCATTCTCGGTTGAAAAGTTATCTGTAACTTGGGAAAGTAACACGATTTCCCCATCTATAGAATGAGACAGTTTAACTGGAAAAGTTTCTAAATATTTTAGTTATTTTTCAGGATTGCTAAGAAAAAGATTAAAGTAAATGTTCAGTATTTTTCTGGACTGCACAATTACACGGTTTACATATGAATGAACTCTAATGGTAACTTTCACCTTCATTATCTCAGTCTTCCTGATATTTTTGGCTGCTCATTTTTTTTCTGAAAAATTTAGTGAGTTTTAAAGCAATTCGTGTTGACTCATCTCTGGTTACTTTCTGGAATTGGCAAAAATAGCAGTTCTGAACTGGTGGCTTTGCACTCCAGGGAACATTTAGCAGTGTCTGGAGACAACGCTGTTTCTCACAAGCAGGGGGTGGGGCATGTGAGGTGCTGACGGGTGTGTGCTCTACTGGCATTAGGCGGGTAGAGGCCAGGGATGCTGCTAAATATCCTACAACGCACAGGACAGATCCTGACAACAAAGAATATCCAGCCCAGAATGTCAAAGTGCTGAGGCTAAGAAACCCTGTGCTTTCTAAATGGACATAGTCTACTCAATATTAAACTATTCTCATTTTTACTCATTTATTTTAAATACATTTGAAAGAATTTGCTTCCTAAAATAATGTAAGCTGCTGCTGATGCTTTCCTACACTTTCAGAAACAAAATACAAATGTTAATTACAAATCAAGTGATACCTATTATTAAACACCTCTGTAATCTGCTGGAAGAAAAGATTATCTTGTACCATAGTAGCACAACAGGAGACTTCTTTAATTGTTATATTTTATTTGTCAGATTTCAGCAGCTGGTAAAGAGATTCTAAGCAGATGTTTTTAGGAAGATCTTAAAATAAGGATACTTTGTTCTTGAAATTCCAACAATGGGTAGATTGTTCTTTGGCTCTTTTTGAGCCCTCACCAAGGAATACAGGAGAGCCCCTGAGCCTTCTCTCTATGTAATCTTGACTACTCAGCACTGTTGTCACCTCATCTAGATACAGTATACTGTTTACCTTCCACATTGCTCTAGGTTCCTTCATCTTTCTTTCTCTTGGTATTCAATGAGGACAAGCTAGTATGCTGCGACTATATTGTGTAAATTATTGATATATTCTGTCAGCAATATGTAGGATGCCATAGATTTTTTAGTTAAAAGCTGCTATAAAATTTAATCATTGTTATCATATGATATTGCTTATATGTGGCATCTAAAAAAAGGGTACAAATGAACTTATCTACAAAGCAGAAACAGAGTTACAGATGTAGAAAACAAACTTACGGTTACTGGGGGGAAAGGGGAGGAGGAATAAATTGGAAGATTGGGATTGACATATACACACTACTATGTATAAAATAGGTAACTAACAAGGACCTACTGTATAGCACAGGGGACTCTACTCAATACTCTGTAGTGGCCTATATGGGAAAAGAATCTAAAAAAGAGTGGATATATGTATATGTATATCTGATTCACTTTGGTGTACACCTGAAACTAACACAACACTGTAAATCAACTAGACTGCAATAAAAATTTTTAAAAATTTAATCATTGTTTATAATTGTAATGCCTTAAACCAAAAAGATAATTTCCTTTTAAACATAACATTTCTGTAGCCTCTACAATATCTATTG